ATATGTTAATGACAGTTTACATATTTCACAGTTCCTATTTAAGTTTTTAATTGAGAATAGCTGATAGACTATAACTCTAGAAGACCCTTAGTTCCAAAAAATATAAGGATATATTTAATTTCTGACAGAGCAGTGACAGGCCCGCACTGTAAGTTATTGTCCGTATAGTTAGGTTGGTTCCAGGGATGAGTCCTGCAACGATTGCCCAGGGGCTCAAATGCCAGCCCTGCCCTTCCTAGCCCCACGTTCCTGGTGCCACAAATAAACATTTTCTACATTTCCATTTCTTTCTTCTTTTTCATTAAAAGGATACAATAATTGAGCCTAAGCATCTAAAGGTGATGTGGAGATGGGCTAAGATAACGAGGAAAAGCCAAGTCTCTAGCTCAGGCAGAGACTGACCAAGGATGAGTTGGTTGATCAATAATGTGAATTGAGACTGTGATTGTCATCCTCATTTAAATGGTGCATTTCTTACTCTCGAGAGCCAGGGGACAAATGATGGAACACCATGACTTTCCTGGTGTCGTTGATCAGATCATTCTTTTCTGTCAGTAAATCTTGTCAGCCAAGAGAGCCGCATGTCCCCCGCGCCGTGTGTCCCTGGACGGGCGGACCGCACAGCTCTGGATTTGCCCCCAGATTAGGGTTGGGGGTTAGCTCTGCAGGCAGTTGCTGACCATGCCTCTTTCCCTGCAGTGGACTCTACAACTCTCCCAGTGACCGGAATAAATCACCAAAGTTCCCTTACACACGCCGCCGAAACCCCTCCTGTGGAAGTGACAATGACTCTGTACAGCCAATGAGGAGGAGGTGAGCCGAGCCCAGCTCTCAACTGTGAATTTTCCAGAGAAGTCTCCTTTCCATTTGTCTAAGTAGTAATGCTCCTGTCCTTGCCAGTGGTCCCCGGCATCAGGAAGCCTACCGTGTTTTACATAAGCTGAGGACCTGTGGCACTTTTCAGAAACAGCCAGAGTTCTAGAGAACGACATTGTAAAACACTGACAGGAACTTGCTCTATTTTAATGAAGACTAATAAATTACTAATTTCAACTGGCTAACTTATTGTGTATTGTATATGTTATTATGTAACATACTATTTATAACATTATCAATTGCAGTAAGAGCCCTGGTGGGATAATGGTTAAGTGTTGGGCTGCTAACTGCAAGGTCGGCAGTTTGAAGCCACCAGCTGCTCCTTGAGAGAAAGATAGAACTTTCTACTCCCCAAAAGTTAGAATCTCAGAAATTCACAGGGGGCAGTTCTACCCTGCCCTGTTCAGGGTCACTCTGAGTTGGCATCAACTCGATGGCAGTGAGTTGGTTTTTTTGTTTTGTTATATATTATATACACATATTCATAGGCTTTGTGTTGACATATGCTAAATTATTCTACCTGAGCTGACAAACACATTTAAAAGTCAGGCTCCTGAGCTGAAGCTGAGGATTCTGCAGTCTGGATTGACATTATAGTCCAGGCAGGAGAAAAACCGCTTTCAAAGCACAGAGACGTAAATCCGGTTACACTTTAGCTAAAGGGCAGGTTAATTTTATGAGGTTGTATAGATGTGTGCTTAATTTTTTTAAGTTAGTATCTGGAAGTTTTAGACTTCCTGTCAAAGAGACTGGACACCACAACAAATTGTACGCGATGAAGGCTGGAAAGAACTTAGCAGAGATTCCTTTCCCTCCTGCATGACGGGGCGCTGACTGACTGAGGATACTCAGGTCATGGCTATTTTAGGGCTGACTTATAATTGCAGGAAGTTCAGGTCAGGCTGTTCTCTGATAACCATCAGAATTCTTCTCTGTGCCCTTTTTCATACTCACTCACTGTTGCTTCCCTCATTGATTCCTTCAATGTCTGTCAGTTCCCAGAATTTTCCCCTACCTTCTCTAACAAGGCCCAACTTTACTGAAATCCTCTGATGGTTAAGGCGAGCATGCTCCGTGTCACCTTCATCTGTAGGGCTGAGGAATGGGAAGCTAACAGTGATTAGTTAGCATGATGGAATAATAATCAGCACTTATTTTGTATTTACCATGCTGTATAAGTACTGAACAAACTGCTGGGCAATTTTAGCCGAGAGAGATTAATGCAGAGAATTGGTGCAAAGATTTGAGAAAGGGCATAGAACTAAAACGCAGAATGGAGCAGCCCAGAGATTTGAAAACTGCTACCGCATCTGCACTCTGGGTATGAACGAAGACAAGACGTGGTACCCAGAGGTGGCTTGCACTTTTGAGCTGGAACTCATGCACCAGCTTGCCGCTGACATGGCTGTGGGCAAGCCCGCAGGTGCTGAGCCGGTTCACGCTGGCTGCCTTTGCTGGAGGTACCACTACAGTTAGAGCCACCCACCTCCGCTGCGTGGGTGCTGCCAGCAGCAAAATGGCTTCCTTTTTTCTCTTGCCTCTACCTGGAAGTCACCTGGCAAGGGCATCCAGGAAAAAGTGATTTTCTCACTTCTTGTCTTGGCAATAGAGTCGAGATCACATAAGGTCAGAATGGGGCTGAGTACCAACAGAGAACAAGTGGCCTGGTATTATTTTCTCACATGCACAGGTGTGGAAACAGATTCAGGAGACTACTGTAGCTTGTCCTTTGGGGCCCTCCTGAGATTTGAATCCACTTCCATGTGACATCCAGAATCCACACATCTGAAAAAGGCCAGAGGGAGACATTTCCTTGCCTCTGTCCCCAGCCTAGGAGTCTTTGGTTGGTGCAGTGCTGGGTTGCCAGTGAAGGTCGGCTGTTGGAGTCTACTCAGAGGTATCTCGGAAGGCCTGGTGATCTACTTCCAAAAAGTTAGCCTTTGGAAGCCGTATGGAACTCAGTTCGACTCCCACACATGGGGCCACCGAGTGAAGATAGTCTCAAAGTGTCCCCCTCAACCCCAGGCCTCATTGGGCTTTCTCCTCTGGAACGGCATGCCTTTGTTTAAGCGGACAGCTCCAAAGCAAGGCAGCTTCACTAGAAAAGACTCTGAAGTACACACACTTGTGGCGTGCTGACGGACGTGGCTGCAGGGAATGAGTCAATGCGTTCGGAACTGCACTTGGTACTTGTGTCCTTAAGTAGCTGGCTTTTTGTTGCGTTTCATGCAAAATGTCAGTACTCCTTAAATAATTACACAGGTTGAGGAGATAGTCATTAGACTTTACTATATTGGAAAAATGAAGTTAGTGGGTTTTACTAACATATACCACGGTACACTTTTTTCCCCCTACCCCTAACCCATTTGCTTGAAATAGTTTGGAGCGTATACATTCCTGAAGCTAAGCTTAATGACTTCTCTGTTGAGATCTTCTTTCTGCTGGCTTCCTGTGAAACACAGAGAAGTGATTGTGGCGAGGCGACACAGGATCCTCTTCATTGGCACAATTCAGGGCAAAGACGGTTTCAGTTTCCCAGAAGGAGAATCGGTTCGCCTGAGAAGCCATGGGGTCTTCTGTCTGCTTCTGTGTCTTTGAAGAAAGACATATGTGTCTTCAGGAGGCCAGCCATCGCTGTGTGTTGTGAAAGGAGACCGAAAGCACATTCTTCTTGGTTTCTTTCCACTACAAATGCCCTCTCCTTGTCAGTCTTGCTTTCAGCTTCACACAGTTTACTGTGCACCACCTAGGCACAAATCCCAGCTAGATTAACTCTGACATTTAAACAGGCTTCAAACCAGTCGTTCCTCTGTATACATAATACTTGTATTGGCATAAAAATCACCTGAAACTCTAGAAGAATCCCCTGGGGATCTTCTGTAGATGTTGACTCAGTATGTCTGAGGTGGAAATGCAAATACTCAGCGAAAGGGTTGAGGGGGTGGGGGGATGTCGAACCAGAATGAACCTGCTTGAAGCCTTGTTGAGAACCAACACTTTGCCATCAGCATGGAAGAATACCAAGGATTTACATTTAGTACTAGAAAAATCCTTTTTTGCCTGAATGATGTGTTTTGAAAAGATGTGAACATTGTCAGCTTTGTCAGTGGTTTATTGTGAAGTCAATAAACCAGAAGCCAAATTCACTGCCATTGAGTCAGCCCAGACTCGTGGTGATCCTAAATTGAGCGTCTGAGGCTGTGAATCTTTGAGACAGTTCAACACATTTTCTTTCGTAGGTTCAGACTCCACACTTAAGCTTACTCGCTGTATTCTGTATTCCAGACACTGTATTAGGCAACAGTAGGCAAAGTCCCTGCCCGTTGGCAGCTTACAATCTGTTGAAGAAGAAATATTTGAACTTCACAAATGCATCTGCAGTTAGGACTTTGATATCCTCTAAGGAGTTATATGGTAGATTCTTAAACCAAAATCAAACCCACTGCCGTTGATTGAAACTTAACCTGCATACAGAAAATTGCATGGGTCACAAGTGTAACCACTTAGTAAAATTTGTCATCTAACCCTCAATGGAACCAGCATTATCAAGGGCATTTTTGCTGCATCATAATTGAGGACAAATTCGGTTCCTTGAGACTGGAGGGTTAAACTGGCATCTGTTAGAGCAGTAAGCAGAAATAAGGGGAAGAGCGTTCCAGATAGAGGACTAGCATTTGCTGCAACCTTGGGGTGGAAGCCAGTAGGGAACATTTATGAACAGGAAAAGAGGCCAGTGTTAGCTGTAAGAGTAAAGAAAACTGTGCTGGAAATGAACCAGGAGAGAAAGATGTTGTCAGATACTAAGTCACACAGTCTTGTTTAGCATCTTGGTCTTTAACCAGGTGCCTCACCATGAGGTAACTGACTCATGGTGAACTATGTTCATCTCGAAGTAGAATTGTGCTACATGCTACATAGGATTCTCAATCGCTGTGATATTTCAGATCACCAGGCCTTTCTTCTGAAACACCTCGGGTAGATGAGAACTTCCACTCTTTCGATTAGCAACCGAGTACATTCCTCATATTCATCACTCAAAGCTTCCCTTTGATCCTTACATCAGTAGTTCTTAGACTAGTGTTTCTCAACCGGTGGGTTACGATCCCTTTGGGGGTCAAACAACCCTTTCATAGGGGTGGCCCGATTCATAACAGTAGCGAAATTACAGTTATGAAGTAACAATGGAAATAATTTTATGGTTGGGGGGTCGGAGTCACCACAATATGAGGGACTGGATTAAAAGGTCGCGGCATTAGGAAGGTTGAGAACTACAGGCTTAGACTGAGACGTGATATACAGTCAAGTTGTTAGCATGTAAAAAATGACCTTGATTATGTGAAGACATGGTGGTGAAAACAGAGCAGAAGTAGAACTGGAGACTGCAGCAAACAGACTAGAGGCAGTGGGAGTCCTGGCTATACAGATTGTGAATTTAGACCATGGGGCAATGTGGAGATAAAAGGAGGCCATGGGTCTTAAGAGCTGTTAGGAGGTAAGATCAATGGGACTTGAGGGATTGCTGTTGGAGATGGAGATATCAAGAAAGAAATGCAGTGTTATAAAATCTGATGGATTAAGGTGCAATGCACTCAAATAAGGATCATCAGGCCATTACACACTTGAAGGCAGTTTGGTTTTTCATATCTTGGATTTGCTGTACCTTTGAGAATTCTAAGCAGATTTCAAATAGGTTTTTGGATATGAGTCAGGAGCTACACTAACCAGACCAAAGTACGCATTTGTGAGCCATCTTCTTAAAGATGTTAATTGCAATGTGTACTACAGATAAGACTGACTGGGTTGTTTGCATAGATAGAATGCAAAGTCAAAGTCAGGATGGAACTATGAGAAACTCCTGTATTTGATGGCTTTGTTGAAGAGGGTTAATTTACAAAGAAGGCAGAGAAATTGTAGCCGGAGGAAATACCAAGTGATTG